ACTTTAATCGCTTCCGCCACCTTGACGCACTCTCGCATTTTTGATGGAGACGTAGCGGGGGTGGAAGAGGAGCCAGGCAAAGACAGACCCATTGACTCGATGGCTGTGGCCATTGTGTTCGCAGTGAACATGCCCCCACAAGCGCCCGCGCTGGGACAGGCATGTCTCTCAAGATCATCCATGATCTCATCCTTGGTCTTGCTGGTGTCCCCACCATCGTCCGGTTGACGCAAAGTATCATATGAATAAGCCCCAGCGGCTTCGAAGCAACTCGAAACGTTGATTGGCTTTCGTAGGAGGTTGGAATACCCAATTTGAATAGTTCCGCCGTAGATCATGATGGAGGGCCGGTTATGCCTGGCCATACCCATCACCACTCCAGGCATGTTTTTATCGCATCCGGGGATGGCAATGCAGGCGTCGTGGTACTGAGCGCAAGTCACGGTCTCGACGCTATCCGCAATGATCTCACGCGTTTGGAGAGAAAACCTCATGCCTGTTGTACCGTCAGGTATGTCTCCGATGGGAACTTGCAAGTAGTCTTCGAAGTCACTGACCTTCACTGCCCATGGTGATGGCATCTGAAACGCCAATAGTGTTATATTGCCAACCAATCATGCCCTGACCCTCGACGGACTTCTTCACCGTCTTGCCCATATCCAGCAGGTGCATGTTACACGGATTTCCTTCCCACCACACGGATGCAATTCCTACCTGAGGACTCTTTGCCATAGCATTTTGGTCGGGAACACCTGCAGCATAGAGCATTGCCTATTAGAAATGGAAATTGCTGTCAGCACGATCAGGGTCAAACTCCGGTCGACGGAGTTTCCAAGTTAAACTACCTACCTTAGCGCCAGGGAAGTCATGGCCTCTAGTGATGGTTGAAGAGTAGCGATTCAGCGCAGGTGTTCCATCCTCATGCTTTGTGCCCTCTGGAAGACAGGGGAATTCGATATATTTCGCTTCCCCAAAGGCTGATGAGACGGCGGGTTTGGAGGGGTCCATGGCGAACGCTGAATAGTTCGAATGAAAAATGCCGTTGGATGCTTCAGGACAGTCAAATGACCCTATATCTTAGGTCGACAATGGATAGGGCCAATACAGCTTTATAAAATGCAAAGACGATAGAGCGATCGTGCGGTGGAAGTGAGCCCCTCATCTCCCGGTAAATCGGAGTTGGTACGTGTCTCCGTAAAGAGTATCGGCGACATGTCCGTTGCGGGGGATGTTGAATAATCGGAATTGATCCTATTAGTTGTTGTTTCTGAGGAGTATAATTCAACTGCCCGCTGTGATTTGACAAAGGTCTCGGGTATAAAGTGGGGAACTTCTAATCACCAGACGACTCGGAAGATGGGGACCTTACTCCCTACATTCTTTGTGTATAGTATACTGACTGGAAGATTACTAGTGCTTTTAGTAAGTTCTAGATAGATAATCAAGAAAAGATGAGGGCCAGTGCAACTGGGTATCTTCGATAAAAGCTGACTCCTAGAAATAATAATAATTCATCGTATAATATCCATAAGAATGAAATGATTGACGCCTGTCGCTTTTTGCCCAGCATGTTATCCAGCCACACTAATCTGATTCTCGGTCAACCGTAGACCACTGGCCAGAGTGCTGTAGCCCTTCATCTGAAATAGAATCCTGCAGTGGGCCCGGTTTCTCAAAGGAATCATCCATCCCCTTCTCAGACTCATCACGATGGACACCAGAACCATCGTCTACGGCAAAGCCAACAATTTTTCCTGAGCTTGACTGAGGTCGAGCCTCCTCGAGAACATCGCCGTGCCAGGGTTTGCATTTCTTAACGATCTCACCGCAGCGGAGACATATCCAACCCTCTCCTTCCTCTCCCTCGACCTTTTGCACTAGACAGACGAAGCAGTATACGCAGCCACAAGGGACTGCCTCATAAGGATTTGTAATGTCCGTCTGGGCGGACCCGAGGATTCCCCCAGAGGCCGCCGATGCAGCGATCACTTCGCTTTCTGTTGCGGACTCTGGATTGCTCGCTTTGTAACATATTGCGCAGGTCCTTTCAGGAAGGAATGCTAGCTCTCCTTGCTTCTCAGCTTCTTCGGAGTCTCCATCACTTGATTTGATACTAGACATTGTTCTGCGCCACGCTCGGGATATCCATCGTCGCCATCTGCTGATTCCCACGAGCGGCAGCAGGAACAAAAGGAACTCCGTGAATGCGTGCCACACAAGTTGTCGATTCAAATATTCGAACGACACCTCGCGGCTTGCCTGTGCAGAGGGAGGAGTTAGGCGTATGCGAAGGATACGGTCGACTAATGTTCGGTATCGGCCGTTGACAAGGAATACAAGGAAAGAGATAAAGGCTGCAATCGAGTGTGTCGTGGAAACGAGATCTGTCATTCGAGCCAGCATCCGCACTTCTCGGGATGGCTACTAATATGAGCACAATGGATAACTGAAGGGTCGCCACTAGCACTCACCTCGTCATAGCCGCCTTCTTGGTTGATCAACCAGCTCTCCCATTTCTCCCAGGCGTAGCGACCACCAACTGTGAGTAGACCATACAAGGATTTCTGCCACTTCGTTGGAGCAGAATGAATTGGGCCCTTGCTACGAGTGTCTATGTACTTTAAATTTTGTAAGGCCGCTCCATAAGATGCGTCGTGATCCCAAATCGAGAGCTTGAACAAGATTGCACGTAGAGCAAATTGGATTTCGTGGGACCAATCCTCACGGGCTTGGGGCTACAATATCGGAACATTAGTGGATATCATACAATATAATGTTGAAGACGGACGAGAATAACCTACCCCGAAGTACTTCAAAGCATTCCCGACTTGCCCTTTCAGTAACCCCAACAGTTCCTCATCCAGGAGCTCAGCATCGACTTGTCCAACGCGGAAAGCAGGCCTATTACCCTCGCGGCCTTTTATGGTATTCCATAATGAGAGGCCTGAAACAGGTAATCTATTCAAAGGATAAGGGAGTCTCTGGAACGCAGGATGATTAACCGGAGACGTCCGCTGCTGTTCTGCAAATCGAGCGCGAGCCTCGGCTTCGCGGAGACGACGACGTTCCAGGACGCGCTCCTGAGCAGCGGCAAAATTTGTCGAGCTCATTGTATAATCATGGTGTTTTATCAAGATACGTCGTTTTGTAAACGAGGGAGTCAACAACTTGAGCGGGAAACGGCCGGCGGTGTTGCGCGGAGGCCAATGCGGTCGGTCGGTTCCCCAGATTGGGCTCTGATTGAATCTGCCGAGGTTGAATCGAACCACGTGATCGTCCCCAGTTGTGATGGAGTATAAAATAAACTCTCATTCTCTGTTCAGCTAGAGGCCAATTCTGATGTGACTAGTCTCTGCCTCTTTTAGGGATGAGGAAGAAGAGAAGACAAAATTTACTTACTGAAGAATACCGGATGTAGATGGCCGTGTATGGTAAAAGGAATAAGCAATCAATGCCAATGCCTGTTCTGCGTGGAGCTCCAAAATTATTTCTAAAAGAATTTTTTTTGGGGGGGGGGGGGGAATTTCTTTCTACGCATGTCTCATGGTTGGAGGATGTTTCTGTAATGAGTAAAGATCAATGAACTTTTTCATTGCGGCGTGCACTTCTAATGTGAGTTCGGGTTCGCAGACAACTATCGTTAGACCCGGAGTAAATCCGGAATCCATACAAAGCTATGAATTTGTATCCGCAATGGGAACAGCTACAGGGGGACGTCACTATGTTAATGGGGAATTTGACTGGGATATATAGAACACCTAGAATCCCACGACACCCATACGGCGTCGGAGCAAATCTATTCACGCTAAAAGTGTAAATTTCTGCCGTTATGTAAATCTCCGATCAGGCTTTATTCTATATGTATGGAACACAAGTAAGCATATCCAGTACTAGTGGCATTACATTGTGTGTTCAGTTGCCCAGTACATCTTCTTGGAGAAGGCCTTTGTCCACCTCAGTTGCGGTTTAAGCTACTCATATTAGCATGGTATATAATGGATTTGTAATAGTATGGGATTGAGAAAGAGAGAGAAATTCGACAACACCATTAATATTAGCATTCCAAGGCTGTAATCTAAACTTATCGGCAGTGACTGTCAACCCCAAGTTGAATAACTCTTCAATTCATATACAATAGTTCTATCCATTAAGGACTACGCATATTGGCGCGTGTCTTTCTCGGGATGGATGAATGAATGACGGGAAGAATATTTTAGCAGCCTATAGCTGGTCATGCGATAGTTTGTAAATTGTAACCATACTCGCATTAATGAAGTTCAAAGCTACTATACCTCAGTCCATTCCGACCGAGCCGGGCCAGTCAGCCCTGGAGGTATTAGGTGCAGTAGCTACTGCTATCTTCCTGTCTTATCCTATGCTTGACTACTGACTCCACTTCGAATGGACAAAGTAGTACTGGAGTTGTCAACCAGAAGATGGCGCACGTGCTGCCCTCCGAATCCTCCAGACTTTCGGCCCCACCGAGGGCGTGGATAAGCATTCGCCCAGACCTGATTCCGGGACCCACAGAGGACCGGGATCTCGAAGGTCTCGCATGGACGACTTCCTGTACTGCAAGGGGCCCTGACTTCCTTCGTTCTGTCCCATGCCGCTACCCAATCTCAGACTGGCATTTACAAAACAATGCTACTAAGCGATTCAACTGTTGCCTGCGGTTCAATTAGCCGAAATGGCAACCGTCGAATGAAACAAGCTTCCCTGACCTCGTGGTTCTAAACGATCAATTATCTAAACTGTCTTGGTGGATACAACCCGCCAGTAGCGCAACATACTACTACTAGGTACAGTGGTACACTGCAATCTGCCCTACCGACCTCGTGCGCATAGCGCATGGTCATATGCGATAGGATTTTCCTCTCTCCTGCCTATAAAGACAGGTGGTCGCGCCCCCTTTGCTGATCTTTCCTTGCATTCTTCCTCTTGTATCGGTGACAAGGACGATCTGTTGACAAGAAGAGGCCACATACAAAATCTCAAAGATGAAGTCCTTCCTTGCAAGTCTATTCGCGGCCTCTTTGGCCTATGCCCAAACTGCCACGGAGAGTGAACCTTCCCTTTCAGACATTGAGAAGGCTGCGGCTACTACAGAGCCCTACTCTCCTGTCTCCAATGTGACTGGCCTGGCCTTTGACAGATTCTTCCAAGTTTGGCTGGAGAACATTGTATGTGGCGCACCCTAAGACTTATCTTCCCTACATCCTAATGCATATTTTTCGAAGGACTATTCGGACGCGTCTGCCGATGAGAACTACCAATGGCTGGCCAAGCAAGGAATCACTCTGTAAGACTTCCCTGTCGAGACTTGCTCAGTTGTCACAACACCTTACTGACTGTCGAAGCACCAATTTCTTTGCAACCACCCATCCATCTGAGCCCAACTACTGTGCTTCCGCCGGAGGAGACACATTTGGCATGGACAATGACGATTTCAACCAGATCCCGGCCAACGTCTCGACCATTGCCGACTTGTTCGACACGAAGCACATTGCCTGGGGAGAGTACCAAGAACATTTGCCTTACCCTGGATTCCAGGGATACAACTACTCCAACCAGGAAACTTATGCCAATGATTACGTGCGAAAGCACAACCCGTTGATACTGTTTGACTCGGTCACGAAGAACAGCACACGTTTGCGTCAGATCAAAAACTTCACCAACTTTGAGGACGATCTCGCCGATAAGAAGCTCCCTCAGTACGCTTTCATTACCCCCAACATGACCAACGATGCGCACGATACCAACATCACCTTCGCCGCCAAGTGGGAACGTAGCTGGGTCTCCCAGTTGCTCGACAACTCCTATTTCATGGAAAATACTCTGCTTCTTCTCACTTTCGATGAAGACAAGACCTACCCCAAGGGAAACAAGATCATGAGCATTCTCTTGGGTGGTGCCATTCCTGATGACCTAAAGGGCACCACAGATGATACGTTCTATACTCACTATTCGATCATCGCTTCCATGTCGGCCAACTGGGGTCTGCCATCCCTTGGCCGATGGGATTGTGGTGCCAATATTCTTGAAATTGTGGCCAACAAGACTGGCTATGTCAACTATGATGTTGACACTACAAACCTTCGTCTCAATGAGACATACCCTGGACCCATGTCCGCTGGTGATTACTCCAAGTTCTCGCCTATGTGGCCAAACCCATTGACCAGCGGCAACTGTTCAGCTGGTCATGGAATTCTGGACATTGTCAAGGAGACCTATAAGGGAACCACTGCGACTTACAACTACACGAGCCCCTTCCCCTACGATTCAAAGAGCGGTTACAATGTCAAGGTCACCGCGACTAAGAAGGGTGCTGGCAACAAGGGATCTTCTTCCTCATCGACCCCTACCCCCAACGTTGCTGTCCCCTTCGGTACGCCCGCTGCCGGATCCATTTCTGGTATGTTGATGGGTCTTCTCTTTTGTCTTTTCTAAGGCAATGTTATGCGCTATGTCTCTTTGTATGTACTTATTTTAACGACGCCAACAGGCCGTGTTTGAACGCTTTATATCACAGAGGAAGCAGATTTATAATGATTACACAGATGATGCTGTGAGCACAAAAGAATTAGCTAGTGACACTACCGACTATAGAAAATCGTTAGCTTTTGTAGTGAAGCCTACTCCCATCTTAATATCTATCAGTCTTTTCGGTTTAGTGCATCCATTCTTAGTAGCTGTCAATGTTCTCCGGCCCGGATGTAGACTATAGAGTAGCTTTTCGCTCCAATCTCTCGCTCTTACTCTAGTAGAATTTAGCTAAAAATTGCGATTAAAGTCAAGTTTCAGATAGTATTCATAAATGTAAAGTTTGCTATCCACCGTCTCTAAAAAGTTCTCGAGTACACTATATGCGAGCGTATCAAGAACTTGAACTGATCAAAACGGTCTTTGTCTCCAGGTAGCTGTCCAAGCCGCTCAGCAAACCCTCCCGACCCAAACCGCTCTGCTTGTATCCGCCTATTGGCATAACCTTCACCATAGTGGGACTCGTGCTGTTGACACCAACCGTACCTGCCTCGAGAAGCTTAGACAGTCGCACTGCACGATCCATATCCTTCGTGAAAACAGAGGCATAAAGACCAAACTCGGAGGTATTGACCCGTTCAATTGCCTCCTCTATCTTGAACGTATTGATCGCCACAACAGGTCCGAAGACCTCCTCTTTCATAAGCCGGGAGTCATCGGGGACGTTCTCAAAGACGGTCGGTTTGATGAAGCCCTTTCCGCCATCCCCGCCCATCGTGAGCTTTCCGTCCTTTTCCCCAGTCTCTAGGTATGACGTGACCCGCTCATACTGAATGTTGTCTGCCTGCGGTCCATGGTTCGTCGTCGGCTCGAAAGGGTTGCCCATACGTCTCGCGGCGCCAAACTTCTCCTTGAAAACCGCTATGAATTTATCTGCAACGGACTCCTGCACATAAATGCGGTAGTTCGCGATGCAGGTTTGTCCGCTCGTGAAGTGGATGCTGAACTAGGTCTTTTCTGCTGCCTTTTCGATATCTGCATCTTTGAAAATGATTGCGGGTGTTTTACCGCCTAGTTCCAAGTGGATCACTTTCATGTTCGACTTAGCTGCTGCGATTTAAACGTTTTGGCCGGCGGATGTGGAGCCAGTGAAGCTCAGGCAACGCATATCCATATGGGATGATATGGCACTGCCGGCTGAGCTTCTGAAGCCGGAGATGATGTTGACGACGCCAGGTGGGAAGCCGGCTTCTGCAATCGATTTGGCAGCGAAAGCCGACTGTCACAGAAGAGATGTCAGAATAAATAGATATTTGGAGGAGTCGTGGCTGGCTCAAACTTACAGTCAAGGGCGCCTTTTCGCTGCTCTTTAGCACCACAGTGTTTCCCGCGGCCAAAGCAGGGGCAACCTTAAACGAGAGAAGTGCGAGTGGCATGACCAAGGGATGATAGCACCAACGACGCCGTAGGGCCGCCTAAGCGAAATACTGAGGAGGTCAGGGGTATTCACGCTGCTAGTTCCCTGCGCATGCTAGCCGGCTGCTGCATCGTAAGCAAAGGCGTCTGCAGCCACTTTGCCTTCTATGTAAAGTGATACAGGCTTGCCCATCGAGATGGACTCCAAGCGAGCCAATTCAGGCATATTCTCTTTAATTAAATGTGACAGCTTGCGCAAATAGGCACCCCTATCATCGGGGCTGAGGTCTCTCCAACCTGGAAAGCGCCTTTGGCTGCTGCCACAGCCTTGTCCACAGCTTGCTCACTTGCTTCATGAACTAAGACAGAGTTAGCATCTGCTATGAATAGGTGCGCATTGTAGAGTTGGTGGCGGATGCAGCAACGGACCGTCTGCAACTGGTTCATGTGTGTATGGGTTGATCAGCTTAAAAGTTTTCCCATCCGTTGCTGGTTAAAAGCATGAATACGAGTGAGTATGAAGCCTTATAATCACGATATTATGGCTATGCTTGCCTGGCCATTGACAAAGAGCCGAGTCTCAATTGGCTGCTAATTATCGGTAGTAGCCGACATGTTGGCAGGTATGAGATGGGTGCGATTTGGTTAAAAGAGACAAGCTATAGCAGAGGGAAAGAGAGCACTATATACTCTGTTAGCCCCGAACGAAAGTGTCTTGTCCAGAGTCCGAGCGTAAGACCTGATCACAATATTGGTTTCATTGGATTAGTATAGATCGTCGTATTTTATCGTACGGGGATAGCAGGGATCAGTCCATAAAGGCACAGACGCGGGGCAGTGCAATCCGTTCGAGACTCAAGAGTCTCGTAAATAGGCCCATAATCTAGGCTCCTAAGAACATTGTATTAGATGCTAGGAGACGATACGCCCAATGAATATCGGAGTGGGAACGATGTCCATAGCAACTGACCGGAGTCTAGCCGCTAATCCAACGGTTGCATTTGCATAGAAACCTATTGGAGCATTGCTCATGCGGGAGCTTAGTCTACTAGTACTACTACTCGTAATATTGAAACATACTGAGGTAGGGTGCCTTGCTATGGTAGAATGCCTTAAGATCGCGTGTCAGATCCAATTATATTTTATGTACTCCGTACAGCTGGCAAGATCTGTAGAAGGAAACGACATGCGAACACACCCACAGGGATCAGCAATGATCTTAAGGCACTCTACCACAGTAGTCCAGTCCATTTGCCCGATACAGGCGGCAATACATAAGCGATCTCTGAGTGTTTGATGCACTCACGACTTGTACTCTGAGCACATACCTTACCTACTACTCCGTCTGCTTCTGGAGTTACTCTTACGGTTTCTCAATCTACTCTATGGTAATCCGGGAGCAGATTATATTTTCCCTTGTAATCGCACATATAATAGAAATATACTAATCTTTGAACTATATATATATATATAAAATGCTCTGTATATATATTCTGCCTTGTCTATCAGTGTATGGGAATCATGAAAAGTAGAAGTAATAAAATGATGGACTATAATAGCAGAAGGGAGGAGAGATAAATGACCGACCGGAATCGGAAGTCAATGCCTATCCAAGTCTTCATTGGGTATTTTTGTTCTATCACTTAGGCTCTTCAAGACCTTTCCCTTCCTTTAATTAGTTGATAGCTAATTAGCGCATCCTTAGGGCTGAGTCTAGATTAACCACATCATATTGTATCACAACCTAAATATGCTAACTATTATACCCTAGTGCTCAGAGGCTTTCCATCCTAGTTCTTTACCGAGAAAGTCCTTTAGTCTTCAGATCCTGAATGTTAAGTGTGTCTTGATCACCCGAACGGCGTTCCGACTCGAGCTTTACCTTCTCCTCAGGGCCTCCGGTGCCTTCATATTCGCCAGCTGGTGCCAACCTGATTATACTTAGCATCTGATCAAACCATGTAGAAGTCTAGATAAAACGCCAACCTTCCACGAGAGTCTCGGGTGCCTCCCTCATCCTCAGAGATAGGTTTCCGGTTGCTCCCTGTTGCGCCTGCCTCTCGACCAGTTTTGATTCCCGTTGCTTCACGGAATTTCTTATCCGCCCTTTCGTCGATGTTGGACTCGAGGACTTCATACTTCTTTAGCACAATGATTCAATACAAATATCAAGACTCTTCGTACCAGAGTCGCTCTTCGGTCCAAGACCTTGCTTCATTTGATAGGAGTTAAGATCTTGCTCGGCGCGAGCTGCCATACGAAGCTTGTCGGAGTCGGCCATTGTGTGTTATATGTGGATGTTCTGTAAAAGTAGCAAAAAGGTTCAAAGGAATAAAATTATTCAAATAAAGTCGCGTTTTTATGAAGAAAGATCTCGATGAGCCCAGCAACAAAGGCGCCGTTCCCAGCTATATAGCCATGATCTAAAGCTGTTTACCAGGAACACTAGAGACATTGCATCAGAATACATCATATCTATGTAACCAGAAACACTGGATGAATTGCATACTTGCTACTGTATAGAGTAACTAATCCATGATGATGATGATGTCATGCAGCCAGATGCTACCTCAGCCCTATGTATAAGTCCCATCATGGCCTAGCACTGAGGGTCCAGCCCTAGGGCTACAGCGGAGAGGAATAACAGCATTCCGAAGCGTCCCGCTAAGGCGGGGAGCAAAGAATACGGGCTAATGTATACGGACAACGGAGAGAGCTCTTTGCGTGTTACTCTCCTATCAATAGAAATCTTTCACATTTCGCCATAAGATAGGATTTCAAGGACCAGGCAAACCCCCATATTCTATGCTTTCATAGTGTTTTGGAGGTTCCTCTCTTGGCTGATATTGGGGTTTGGAGTCAATTGCTTGATAGCTATCTATAGCTCTCACCTCCAACCCAAGCTTCCAGCCATCCCATAGTATGGCTCACGTCGTTGAATTACCCGGGGAGTCAAACCCCTTGACTCCCCAAAATGTTCTCAATGCTTTGGTTTTGGCAGCAAGCTCGACGCAGCAGCAGGTGCACACTGGTACCCAGCAATTGCAAAACTGGGAAAAGCAGGAGAATTACTATACCTCTCTCCAGGTAATTTGATGCCATATAACCTTTTCTAATTTTTACCGTACTTATATGTTGCTCTTTCTATAGGATGTCTTCTTAGATCACTCTGTACCTAACGAAGTCCGATATCTTGCTATCATCCAATTGAAAAACGGCATTGATAAGTATTGGCGAAAGACAGCGACAAAGTAAGCTGATGCGGTCGCATCCCTATATCGGTGAAAGGCTGCAGTTGCTAACATTCAAATAGCGCCATCAAAAAGGAAGAGAAAGAGCAGATAAAGAACAGAGCCTTACAAGCGGGTGTCGTGGAGCCCGCTGCTCTTCTAGCTTTACACAATGCATTAATGATCTCCAAGATTATGCGCTATGAATTTCCTCAAGACTGGTACGTATCCTTTTGTTCAAGTTCGGTAGCTGTTCTTCTAACTGTTTCGTCAAGGCCCGACGGTATCCCATCACTTATCAACTTCCTCCGTTCCTCAACCCAGCCAGGCGCCAATTCATTACAATTACCACGGACCCTTACAATCATTTTGCAGATAACCAAGGAACTATCAACAGCCCGGTTGCAAAGGACACGAACCAACCTTCAATCTGTTGCTCCAGAGATCTTCCATCTTCTGGGAAGTATATATGTGGACAAAGTGAACAAATGGGTATCGCTTCTAGAGCAGGGTGTTGTTGACGAAGGAGCATTATTGGAGAGTCTTGAGCAAAGTTTAGTGTCTCTCAAGGTCGTTCGACGCCTTGTGATAGCTGGATACGAACACCCCAACCGTCATAACGAAGTCAAAGATTTTTGGATGTTAACTCATTCTCACTTCAGTCGCTTCCTTCAGTTCATCAGCGGTTCCATTAGTCTACCGGAGAATGTGCAGAAGGCGATTGAGAAACATATTTTACAGCTATCGAAGCTTCATGTCGAGATGGCCAAGGATCGTGCTGCCTCTTTTGCATTGCTACCAGACAGCATTCCCCTCGTTCGATCATATTGGAGTCTAGTGGTTAAACTAGGAGAAAACTACGGACAGCTAGGCGCAACTGGTGACCAAGAGGGAAAGTCACTGATGGAAAAAGCTGGGCTCAAAGCCCTTCTTCTAATCAGAGCTTGTTCCAAAATGGCATTCAACCCAGCTCAGACCTTCAAGTACCAGACCCCTGAAGATAAGGCGGAGAAAAAGCAGTCTATTGACCTTATCAAGGCAGAGCTCTTTACCCACGACTTTGTGGTCAATGTCATGGAGCTTCTTGTTACTCAGTTTTTCAGGTTCAGAACGAGCGATTTCCAAGAATGGGAGGAAGACCCTGAAGAGTGGGAACGGAAAGAAGAAGATGTTTCCGACGCTTGGGAATTCTCTATTCGATCATGCTCCGAAAAACTCTTCCTTGATCTGGTCATCCATTTCAAAGACCTGCTCATCCCGCGACTTTTAACAGTGTTCTACAACTTTGCAAGTAAGTCCCTGATACCCTAAGGCAGCGTTGAACTCGGTTAACAGGATACTGCCAGGCCCCGAAAATCGTGATGTGTTACTGAAGGATTCATTATACTCGGCGATAGGACTTGCCTCCGCAAGTCTCGAGCAGCATTTAGATTTCAACAAATTCTTAGAGACTACGCTCGTCCCAGAAGTGCAGATTCAAGAGCAGGGATATAACGTTTTGAGGCGGAGAATTGCCATCCTGTTGGGCCAGTGGGTCCCAGTCAAGTCGAGCGAGCTGAACACAGATGCCATCTATCAAATCTTCCAGCACCTTCTTAGCAAACAAGACCCGTTGAACGACTTGGTAGTCCGCATCACAGCTGGTAGACAACTAAAGAACGTGCTTTATCCGTTCGAGTTCTCGCCCACTGGGTTTCTGCCCTATGCGCCCTCTATCCTTCATGACTTGATGTCCTTGGTCCAAGAGGTTGAACTCTCTGAAACAAAGATGGGGCTTTTAGATACGGTCCGCGTGGCTGTAATTAAGATGGAAGACCATGTATGAATATCCCTACCCCGCTGTACCTTCACACAAGTATACTAATAACTCCTCAGATTACCCCATTCTCGGATCAGATATTGTCGCTGCTACCCCCGCTATGGGAAAGTTCCGGGGAGGAACATCTCATGAAACAGGCTATTCTTACCTTACTGTCATCGTTGATCAACTCCCTTAAGCAAGATTCAGTGCGATACCACTCACTCATCCTACCTCTCATTCAGAACTCAGTGGAACCAGGCTCTGTACGTCTCACCTTGCTCCTCATTGAAATAATCCATGAAGGAATACTAATTCGCCCACAGGAAACATTGGTATATCTGCTCGATGAGGCACTAGACCTCTGGGGGGCTATCTTGACGCAAACTCCAGCCCCAGCTTCTCCTGAAATCCTTTCTCTTCTTCCTGCGCTTCTCCCTATTTTTGAAGCTGCCACGGATAGCGTTCCACAGGCCCTTCAAATCGCAGAATCTTATGTCTACCTTGCGCCGCAGGAGGTGCTGAGTGACCGAGTACGACTTCCTTTCCTCGCCTCCCTTGAGACTCTTTTGAAATCTACAACACGCCAACGCCTCGGCGTCGTGCCACGCCTAGTCGAGTTAATGGTACGTGGCACTGAGGCCGTGGATGGTGGCAGCGAAAATTCATATAATGTGATCACTCGATCGCTCCTTGACAGTTCCTTCCTATCATCTCTCCTGGAAGGCCTCTACTCCGCCTATGAGGCCAGCCAAACTACTGGACCTAACAGAAAACAAACATCTGTGTATGGCGTCGTTGAGACGGACTACTTCTCCGTTCTTGCCCGCTTGGCCCTGGCGTACCCAAAGATCTTCGCATCAGCCGTTTCCGCCGCGACGGGAACATCTGAAGAACAAGCCCTTACCTGGCTTCTCACAGAATGGTTCCTCCACTATGACAATATCGGAAGCACAACGCAAAAGAAACTCCATGCGCTTGCACTTACCCAGCTACTCAATTTGAATGGCCCAGACACACAACCACCTCCGTACATACTCAACCACCTCCAATCCTATCTCAACACATGGACAGACATCGTCACCGAGCTCGCCGAAGGGACCGAGACCGAAAATGACCCCCGTGCTGGTGACCATCTGGTCTACTGGAATAACGCAGAAACGGGCAAGTGGGATGAGAATGAACCCCCTGAAAATGAACGCAAACGTCACTGGGAAAACACTGATATCCTCCACAAGATCAACATTCGCGACTTCATCCGAGATCGACTGCGCTCGTTGATTGTTGGATGCGGTGGTGAGCAACGATTCCAAAATGAATGGCTCCTCAACGTCGATCGCGAAGTTGTATCTGCATTTGTCGCCCTTGGGCTTTTCTAATAGAGCACTCTGCTCCAAATCTTGGACTTGATTTCTATAATCACCCTTGAGGTGGGCAGTTTCCACTCTACAATCTACTACACTTACATATCCATGCGGTCCTTGCTGCTTGCAAGAGTTCCACGATCCAAACTCCAATAGGGCTAGTGAACAGATGTCTGTTCGCTTCTTGAGCCCCCGATGCAGCCAAATTGTGATGGTGGGGTGCCCATGACATTTCTATTGCGTCTTGAGTTAAAGGTGTTCATGAAGGGAATGGAAGGCATTGCATGCAGCTTTAGTACTACTGTTATTCCCCTCAGCATATTACCATCTTAGAAAATAACAGTCGGGATCCTTTCTGGACTCGAACCTTTTCTACCTTCTCCCGAATCCTTTTTTATGATTATATCTGGTGACTGTGATCTTTCTCTTTTATCAACAAGCCTGACTGCGTGTATTGTACATGACTCGCAGATCAAGCTTATTTTACTGCCGGACAACCATATCATGGGTATATAAATCATGTTGTGGAAACACCTAGCTGTTGGCTGAAACACGCACCTTTCTGCGAAATACGGTAGGCCAGGCATCCGGTGACAGCTGATCGCACAGTACGATAAACACACCACCATCAGAGATTCCCACCCGCAGCTCCCACAATCTTAAGTCCACTAGCTCCACCACCTCCGGGACCGTCTGCTGTAGTAGAGTACGCAAGCCAATAGCGCGAGGGATGCCATGCGACGGCTGGAATGCCTGAATTCACCCCGCCACCAGTAGGAACAGTATACACGCTTTCGCCTGTTTCAGCATGGAAGATCTCAATTCCATTACCGCCGCAGCCTACTTCATCACAAGCACCGCAAATGAATCTCCCGTCGAAGCTCCAGCTTACCCCGCGGACGGCCCCACCATTATTACTAGACACGGTGCGTCGACAAATCCAATCCGATGTATCCCACAGAGAAATAAGGGCGTCGCTGCCGCCGACGGCAAGATAGCGTCCCGTAGGTGCGAGGGCAATCGAAAGGCAGGCGGATGTGTGAGCATTAAGGGTGTGGAGGACGTCGAAGGATGGGTAGGATAATATTTTGACCGTGCCTTCGCCGGTGGTTGCGAAGAGGTGAAGATCAGACGAGATTGGTGTGGAAATGTGATGAGAAAATGTTGTCGCATTTGTTTGGACGGGTTGTGGGTGGGAATCTAGGACTCTATAGGTGGTTGGGCCTGCGATAGGTTTCTGAGACTGGGTGGATGGGACATTTATTACTCCGTTTTCGAGCACAGTTGGAGTAGAAGGCGATTCGATCGAGATTGGTATCAGAGTGTCATCCTAGTAATTAAGAATATGCCAGTCAGTTCATGTTTCAGCCACTTGTCTGTACCCTGTAAACGTTCAGAGCTTCTCACCTTCCTTCCAACCACCATTGTGCTCCCATCAGCCGACCAAGACAAAGTGAAAGCCTCGCCGCCGACATCTAGACGGCTCACACATGTCTTCGAGCGAACATCCCAGAAGCGCACGGTACCATCAGACGAACAGCTTGCTAGCTCCGAGTCTCGAACTGGGTTAAATAAGACTTTCTCGATTCCCGCGGTGTGACCGCGGAGGTCAGTCGAGTATTTAACTTGCGCGCGTTCAGGGTTCCAGATTCGAAGGGTACGATCCGCTGATCCTGTAGCGATAAGCTGGCCGGTGGGGTTCCATGCTATCGTTCGAATTCTACCAAGAAAGATATATATTATCAGCTTGAACCTAAGCTAGGATGTGTTGTGCAGGTGCAACAGTTTCCTTGGACGGAGACACACGTATGAGATCCAGGCGTTCGTGCAATAGGATCATGATAGCTTTGAGTCTTGAGGCTCCCGAATGAGAATGCAAATCGCTCCTTGGGGAGTAGATTGCGGCGGGGTGGTGCCATTGTTCGTAGCTACTGTCTCTAGCGGAGTCGTGACGATGGCGGCGATGACAGGCGCAATCCACGTTGATGCCCCGAGGGGCTGTGGTCAATGAAAGTTGGAAGGACTTTCGCGAAAGGGTGTAGGTAGTTACCCAGGAATTGCGATCACAATATATAGAGTACTAGTTGCGCGGAGAAGTCGTGCGTTGCATATCAATGTTTGGAGGAGCGGCGGCGATGATAAAGGCGGATGATCAAGCTGGTTGGTGCCTTGGTGCCTTAGACACTGGGAACCATGCGCCAATGACGCATCATTAATATCAACAATTGTCAATTCGGCGCATTATGTCCCTTGGTTGTTGTCATCGGATGTTAGAAGAGAGTCTGCGCATATATTTATACTAGATTGCAGAGAAATCATTTATCCACGTCCTTCATTGTTGTTCGAAATATATTTTCGCAACAACTTTTATCGTTAGTAGTTATCTAATGGAACAGTTTAAGGAGGCAAAAAGCCAATAGGAAGCGAGCGACAGTGATAGAGAGCCTTACTATGGACAGCACACTTCAAATAGTCATTACAAGTACATATCCTTCCCTGAAAGCGATGATTGAATTTAAAGTATTTTTATAGAATCGAAGTCACGGCCGAATCCGTTTACTTATTGGGGGTCCATTGTCCAATCAGATGATGTCCGCTTTTCCATCATCCAAAAGACATCAAATTTCAATGTCTTGGAGGTCATTTCTGACTCACTGCCAACATAACCGATCTGTTGATTCTCTCATTTATATATGTGTGATTTGCTATCAGTAGGTAAATTATCACCAGACGACATAGATAATTATCCATTGTTGTTCTTTAAACTAACAACTTTTGACAGATTCTTCCAACCAACCACAGCGCGCCATTTGATTTGATATCAAAGTCTCGGTGCATAGGGTTATATATCACAGAGATTGCCCAAGACAAAATAATATGTTCGGTCTGGAAGATGACGCGTCTAGGCGCGAGAAATGCTACACGGCAGTGGCTCAATTGCCTTCCTTCATCGACTCCAAACAGCCGCCGATGAAAAAGTCGCCCTTTTCGACCATTCGGGGACATCCGTTCGTGCACACGGTACTTGACCCTTCTGTTTCTCCATTACCACTCCCCTTAAGTGATATATTTTAGCTGACCACGTAGGAATAGGTGGAGGTTACATTACCTAGAGCAACCTATAAAGCCATTGAGAGCTCATTAGATGCTAAACTTCCCAAGCTGCGATATGCTAGAGTGTTCATGTCACTGTCGTCTCTGCTCGAGGGGAACTTTTTCAATGCTTATATCAAATCTGGTAACTAAGAATCTACTACAATGATCCCGCTTCATTCGATGAAGAAAGATACTGTAGATGAGGGCTATTCTAACTACGTCATAGGAAATATTCTCATGATATCAGAGGGACGTCCTGGTTCAGATAATGTGTTTACTCTCAGAGATGGTATTGTATACCCTTTTTGGACATAATGTTCATTTGGTAACGGTTATAGACTGACCTACCTATAGGAATCCTGAAACTAGAACTTGGAAAGGAGATATTTGAACGAACAGGTCTAACGGGGAAGTCCATTCGTAGTGGGGGCAGAAAACATGCCAAGGAAAGATATCGTACGTACTTATATGACATATCTTTACCCTATATCTATATACTCACATGTTCGGATAGTCGTGGAGATCAACCTGCGGCTGCCATCAATGCTTCACGGTAAGAAAGGCTTTGAGAAACTAGTATGGGCATTCAAGAATGTCCTCAATCACACTGTGGCCTGGCTCTTCTATGACCTGACATTGGAGTCGAGTGGCATTTCCTCCGGTACTATAACCCATATTCTTCATCCCTTAATTCACACACTAAAGAATGACTAGACGATCCTTCCCTGAAAGGAAACCACCCTCACATTATAGACTGCGAACCAGTGCGCACTGAATACCGTGACATACTCGTCCCACCTTTCAAGGGAATGAATATCACAGAAACGGCGCCAGAGCAGGAATTAAAGGATTATTGCGACGAAATCTCCGAATGGCTTGGAATGGTGGCCCTCGGATCTCCTCGAGTATTAGCGAGCGATGATGTAGACCCATACCTATGTCGCTATAGCATACCGGACTCCGACGAAGCAAAGTCGTCAGATATAGTCAGTTTGAGATGGCATGGTTTCCTCTCTCCCAAATGGATCATGGAGCTATTCCTTACTCTATTGTATGTTGTTGATCTTACCCCTCAACTCCCTGTTAGTTTATCGAACATCGCATGCTGACTGCTTCATTCTCAGACAAGAAACTTCCCCGAAGGATCTAGAGGCCTTTTCCTGGTTTGCTTTCTCTGCGAGTGCCCTAGGGAGGGAAGCTGTTGAAGGAAAAGACGGTTATACGGTTCTGACATTTCCTTCTCTAGGTGGAACTAGTGATGGTGTGCAGAAGAACTCTGGCACTAGATCTAAAATCGGTCGCTCATGTGTTTGCTGGGAGTACGTTGGCGTCTCAATTGTTTAGAAATGAAGCATATATCCCACAGTGCGTTGAGTCTGTACACGTCACAACTGATATTGGCCAACAGAAATTAGAATATGAAAGTGACATGTCGACTATGCCCTGACATGTAGCCACCAAGTGGTTATATCGACCAATACATCTTTCCCTTCAAATACTAGGGTCTGCAAGCCGTATATGTACGACTTGTTTTGTATTGCCCTTTACGATTTGTTGCAACGTAGATTAATTTGCGGATGGGCAAGAACTACTGAGGCACAGAGCGCGAATTACCTAATTCAATATATAAAGCTAACCGTATATTGGTATCAACTAGTATCCAAAAATTTAATGTTCCAGCTGCTCCTGGCCCTCCAAGTCATAGTCCTAATTCCCAGTGAATAGTATATAGAACTCCAGCAAAATAATACCCACAAGCAGAAAACATACCCAAGAAAATATATGAAAATGGAAAGTCTTAAATGGCTACAATCATCATCCAATAAGGTCATTCACAACATCTTGAAGCACTGGTCTATTCCCAAGGACCTTGCTACCACTCAGCAGTTTGGCTCCCTTCTTTGCCGGCTTCCTGAGACCCTGCGGAGCATTCCGGGCTTGTACTGGACTTAGAGGATTGCGGGCCTTCTTTTGAGAAGTAGGACTCCTCTTTGGACTGGGTGTTGATATTTCTTGTGGCTGGCGTTGTGTATGGATGTTGTCAGAGCCAAAAATGTGGTCTTCCACAGCGCCCTTTGGCAAGTCATATATCCAGCCTTGCTCTTCGACTAACTTCACATATTTGCCTAGCAGCTCATTGCCGCCACGAAGGGTGCTCTTGCTTCCAACAACAAGGAGCTTTGTTCGTGCTCGGGTAAAAGCAACGTTAACCCGTCTCCAGTCACGGAGAAGATCGCCGACATGGTTGTCTGAATTGCTGCGCACGCAGCTCAGTACCACAACATCTTTATCTCGTCCTTGGAATTTGTCCGCGGTGTGCATTTCGAGATCCGGTAGGTGATGGTGCAAGTTCTGTTTCAGAAGCGAAAGTTGGCTGCGATAGAACGTGATGACACCAATGCTTCGTGCTGGTATGCCGCAAGAGATGAAGGCCTCCACGAGTTGGGCGCAGAGTATTGCCTCGGTAGGGTTGACGATTCGCGACCCCTGTGATATGTCCAAGGCTGGTGTGGCCAGAGTGTCTGTGTTGACAAGGCGGGTTTTCGCAGATGGGTCGACCAAATCGCGAAGCCAGCAGCGAGCCTGACTTGTACCAATACAGAGCTGCCTTTGCCCTGGGGGTTGGAAATGGTCCAAATGAAGATGCTTGAGACCCCCGATATTGGGAACCTCCAAAGATCGCGCAGCAACCTCCTGGGTTCCACATTTGAGCTGCCCAGAGTAGATGAGGGTGTTTGAGAGGAGCATGATGTCTTTGCACATTCGATACTGATGTTCAAGATTGACGACTGATGCCGGATGAGAATCAGAGAGAAGCTTGAAGAGACTAACGTCGAGCCCCCCTTCCTGAGCCTCCTTATTCTGCACAAGAGGTGGCAGTTGGTAATGATCGCCGACAAGGATGAACGTCTTTGCCATTCGGACCGGACCTAAACATACAGGCAAGGTGATCTGGGAGGCTTCGTCAACGATGCAATAATCGAATATGCGCTGACTAAAAACGCTGTGGCCAATTCCAAGACAGGTTGTTGCAACAATCTGCGAGTCTTCATATGCCTCTTTAAGTTCTTCGATTGTGCTTTTGGGAACTGCCGCAAGGTCGGCGAACTGCTGAACCTCAGGATGCACCTTCGCTGCAGCCCCAACCCGTAAGATACGAATGTTGTCATCCCGAATCTTCAAAAGTATGTTGTCAACTGCTGTGTGAGTGTATGATGTTAGAAGCACACTTTTCCCTTGCGATACTAATGCCCGAATTATGTGGGCAATAGTTGTCGTCTTGCCTGTCCCTGGCATTCCCAATACCAAAGCATAGTCTTTAGCGCTCATCACTTTATCAATAGCTCGTTTCTGATCAACATTCAAGCTTGCCCTGTCGGTGTGAGAGACCTTGTACCCGAACAATGTGGGTTGGAATGTGGGAGCGGATCCTTCAACGATCAGCCTCCTAAGATTCTTGGCCTGAAACAGGTCTCTTTCCATCATAGCAACTAAGTTTGCTCGAACAATGGCCATGCCATTACTGAACTCGTCTTTATCCAGTCTGTAAATAACCTCTTCTTCAGGTTCATTTGATGGAGTCGAGGAAGCAGCATCGGCGCCAGGGATTTCCATTATGCCCCTGAATGTCTGGTTTATTTTGGCATCAAAGCCTTTGGACTTGGTTCTGGCATTATGCAGTCGTCGATCCACTGCGACAGAGACACGTTGGGGACTGACTTGCACGACATAGCCATTTGCAAGCGCAAAGTGACCCTTTTCATCAGATATCACGATCGGCTCTCCAACTGTGAGCTGTGACTCAGTAAAAGAAAAAGATGGTGCTAGCTGCCTTTTCACAAAGGTATAGCGATAGCGATTTATTTTTACCCCATCCTTGTCTTCAAAGGCTGACCCTGGTTCGATTACAATATCGCCGAAGCACCGACCGAGAGCCTCCCGCTCACTGCTTAGCAATGTCCAAAGCTCCCGCTTAAATCTCATCATACTTTGCTCCTCCTTTGTGAGCAAATCATCCCATTTTCGGAAAAAGTCACGATCTTTGGATGTCAGGTGGTCCATAGCCTTCACGAACTCGTCGCCGAGCCCGCTTGATTCGCCGTCGCCATCATCAACAAGCTTGTGATAGATAAAGCAAGGTGTCTTGGAGAAGCATTTATTACACAAAGCCTGCCTTTTGACCATGGGCGGTAGTTGGGTTCTTCGGCACATATAGCCAGCTACCCGATTTCGCGCCTGAATCATCTGGAGGAGCTCATGACGAATGCCGCGAATACGGAAAATTTTCGACGTCTCGAGGTAATAGAGAAGGCCGAATGTAACTTCCACATCTGATGAAGATAGGTTAGGTTAGAATAAGCGCAGTTGTTCGTGACAAGTCCTAGGCTCACCGTAACGATCGGAAAGCAAAAGGGTATAGAGAGCCGTCTGAGCCCTATGGGCATGATTTGTGTCCCTGTTACCCGTCTTAAGCTCAAGGGGCACAACCAAATTCTTGTCGCTCTCGCCATCATGGCAGGCAACTTGTACAGTAGCATCGATATTGCCTTTTAGTCCATACATCGGAGACCAAATGTGTTCTTCAACCTCAAGTAGCTTGTTGATGCTCAGGCGGAGCCTGGAACTATTTCGGTCTTCAACAAGGGATTGCGCCTGTTGGTAAAGATGAGTACGCGTACCGTCGTAAGTTGCTGAAAGTTCCACTCACACTTGGCTTTGCCTTGAGGAAAGTGTCTGCCCATGATATCAGGGCTGGGATTTTGCCCATCACATAATCGATGGCTTCAGGAATGCTCATGTGAATCAAGTACAGTTCCTCAATATGCTTCACAATGACCATTTCAACCAAGCATCTCAGTGAAGATATATCCCATTGATTAGTCTTCATTGCCTCTTGGAAGACTTCATGGAAAATATTTCCAAACACTTGGGGCTTTCCAATGTCACCGGTGTTTTTTATACGGTCCTGAAGCACAGCTCGCCGCTGACAACTAATCGAATCCGCGACAACTGTCGCCGAAACTAGATGATCCGGATGAAGAATGATCATATTGTGGGAATCGTTGACGATACAATGGCCTGCTGTATCAAAATCGCCGATTAAGTGAATATAGGAGTCCTTGCAGCATGGACTATCAAACCATGATTCCCGCAGGACAACGACCTTTTTCTGGGCGTTTCTTTCATCTTGTACTAACAACACCTGATTACAATGTCAGCTTCTACCTGTGACGCTTCTAGAGTATCCGACGGCTAACCTTTTCTGGCTGGAGGCGTCCCTTTTCAGTGGTATAGGTAGACTCAGCAATATCAACAATCAAGTAGCGCTTGATGGCTTGTCGACTAAAGTTCTATTTATAATACACTTAGCAAATATCTAGTAAATATACCCACTAAGAGTGACAAACATAGTTTGATCCATCTGCGCCTGACTGCCTCATAGACTGCTCGATAGCCTCCATGTCCAAGTCATCATCGTCAAATTCGTCACCAGAGGATCCCCCCCGTGGCACGCTCACCCCTTGGGCTGGCTTCACCATTGCCTTAGACGAGCTAGCGGTGCCACTTCCAAGTCTAGATAGGTTGGAGGTCGTATTATTCTTTGAGACGGGCCTCACTAGCTTCGTACTTGGAGCCGCGTCGCATTCGGCAAGGATATCATCTATATTATCTGAAAACTCATCAAATTCATCGTCGTCAATGTCAACCGTATTGAGAGAATAGTCGGTTTTCTCGTTAGGCCCCGCTTCCGAATTCAGAGTCGTTGCATGAGCATAAGGGTTTTGCTTTTCATCATGTGGCTCGTGGGCGTTCGTCGAAAGGAATGTGGTATTTCCCCCAGTATCCATTGCGTTTGGTAGGTTACCATGTTCAACAAACGGATCCATAGAGGCTTCCGCAAGTTCAAGGAAACCTTGATCAAAGTCATCGTCCTCGAACTCGGACGAAGAGGCCTGCTCTTTGTCTTGGGGTTCAGGATAGACCTCATTGATCTTGTTATTCCGATTTGATTTAGATGAAGAATGATGGCCAGGTCTATCTTGCATGGGAGACACTGACCGACTTCGTTGCATGCCTTTGCGTCTAGGCACAGGCGATGAATCAGCTGCGGGATTGTGGGATTTCGGTGACGTTGGCGCATTTCGGAGACTCTTTTCGATCCTTTCCACGAGAAAATTGATTTTAGACGAATTGATACCCCCAGAGTCAACGACATTGCTTTTTGTCCGAGAAAAAATGCCGCGGCCTGTGCCAACTCCTCCACCATCGATCCTCCTTCGCTTAGCTTTAGAACTGGGCCATTCGGCATTGCAACTATTCGACCGTCTTAAACCAGAGGAATCGCGACCTGTCCTAGCCGGTGCGGGAGTCTGTGGAGAGGAGGAAAGGAGGTGTGTGAATTGAGGTGGTGGTAGAGTTCCATTGCCGTTGGCAGTGAGTTTACCCACATAGTTGTTCCATAGTTCGGTTGCGAGGTCGTTCTGTGGAGTCCTTTGAAGTCCGTGCAATGATGAATGCATGTCAAGAGACTCTTGACCTCCGCCTTTCGAATTTCCAGCTAAAGGCGAACTGGTTGGGGAAGAGATATGCCGGCGTTTCCTGGCTTGTGTTGCAGGCGTTTGAGACATCGTATCCGGATTTGAACTCGCAGGGACATGCTGCCAAATAACGTAGTCTTCAGGTGTAAACTCTTGCGCTGGGGCTTGGCTAATGGCATCTTCAGCATTGCTAATCAAATCTGCCAATGGAATCCTATTTCCCGGAGTCTGAGGGCATTCCTTGGCTGCCTTCGCATCTGATTTATCATCCGAAGCTTCTCTTTTAGTTAAATCGGCTTGATCTGACCGAGTAACACCATTCAACCACGATGATTGATTCTCCTTGTTCGTATGTGCTGGCTTTATTGGCGATTTGGGCGGTGATCTCTTAGATGGTGATTTCTCAATACTTTTATCATCTCTGATGTATCGAAAAGTATTTAGCTTCGAGCGGGAGTTCGAGGAAATGGGATATGAATTGGTGTTCTTATTCATGGGGTTCATAGTTAGAGCTGCTCGTCTTCCGTACGAGAGCAGCAGAGCATCTCGATTAGTCTTAAGTGGATATTTAGCAATGAAAAGCCTGCCTGGCCTGCGGAGAATGTATACCGGTTAGTCAACGAACTGGGATGAAGGATAGAGAAGACAATTATTACAATCCTGGGAAGTCAATTCAAGGAAGTGACATGCATGAATCTAACTTAAGTAGGATTTGTGTCTTGACGCATGCAATCGCATGAATCATGGACCTAAGATGCATATGCGATAAGGGAATCGCTAGACGCGTCGCGCGCGTTGGTGGAATTATGCCTCAGGCAAATATATGCCTTAAATCGCAGGCATAAAACGGTATGAGAACTGACCCGATTGGGACTAGCGCAATGACTCCATCGGCCTTTTGCGGCTTCTGAACATCAACCGCTGTTCAAACCGTCACCCCTCCAACTTAACGCCTCCTGCGCCTTCAACGACAGCGGTCGGATCAGAAACTGATCAATTGGACCGACTATTATCATCGCTGGTCGAAGGAACACCGAATTTGACGTCTTAACCCGACCGTCCTTACCTTCTTGGATCCAACAGGGGCCTCAACCCGCCACCGCCTGTCCCTTATCATCGACTGCTTTAAGGACCAGGAATTCGTTATATTCTCCACTACCCTTCATAGCCGCAATGTCTGCTCGTACTTTGTCGCACAGCCTTCGCGCCCGCTGCCTTTTTCGCAGGCCTCAGAACGTTCAGGGTTTCTCGACTCGTACCAACCTCCGTGCCGCTGATCATGGAGATCACTACGACCCTCCGACTGGGTGGCTTTTCGGTGTCAAGCCAGGCCAGAAATACGTGAAGGAAGGCTGGGAGAACATCTGGTACTACGGATTCATTGGCAGCTTGCTCGTTGCTGGTGTCGCATACGTTTTCAAGCCAGACACCTCGTACGTTAATCCCTTGCGCTTCGGCTTGCCATCAGCAAGCTCTCTATTATCAACAGAAGCCGCTATGCTACATGAAATGTGAAAACCTACTAGTGCATAAAACTAACTTCCTGGCAGGATACAAACATGGGCTCTGGAAGAGGCACGGCGGAGACTTGAAGCCGAGGGTATACTGGAGGACCCCGAGAAAGCTCAGAGGAAGTAAGGGACAAACTTGTCCTGAGTATTTCCTTGTACATTGTACATAGAGCGGTCGGACATGGAAAACAGTTTCGGATGAGATGTTGTACCTGTGCTAGTGGATACGATTCGCCAGCTCAGTCTAGACAGGTCTTTTTATTCCCTTACCTATGTTCTTTTTTCTTAAATTCTGCATTGTACTCTGTCAACGTATATTCTGGGATGCTTTCACCGATTGCTTTAGAAAGTTACGCAAAAGCAAGGAATGCAAATGTCCAATCGCAAGTAACATTTCTACCTATCGTCTAGTTTCAGACTTCGCCTATATTCATCGAGTAACGGTTTATTCACGGAGATTGGTCTACTTATATCCCCGCCTAGTTACCACTACTACGGGTTAGACCATTATACCTCTGGATATATATCAGTCCTTCTAGGAAGTGGTATCTCTCTCCTAACCTTCGCTAGAAGGTCCAAATCAATATCCGCGAAGGCGATTTGCGGTTCTGTATGTTCGTCGCCAAGCTGAGCTACAATCTCTCCCCAGGGATTCACAATCATCGAATGGCCATAGCTTCTTCTTTTCTCATTGTGAGACCCCGCTTGCGCTGCTGCTATCACATATGACTGAGTTTCAATAGCCCTGGCTCGTAGTAGTGTTTCCCAATGGGCCTTCCCCGTGGGAACCGTGAATGCTGAAGGATAAGTGATAAGCTGGGCATTTTGCCGCTTCAAAGCCAGACTAATTTCGGGGAAACGGAGCTACAAGATTATATATAATTAACGTCATCCAGTATGGAAACCAGGCCCTTTTCAGATGACTTACATCGAAACATATTGCTAAGCCGACACGTCCAACAGGGGTCTCGAATGGAGGTAAAATTTCCATTCCTTTCTCAACACTCCTGGAAATAATGGTCAGTAAAACTACTAAATACTTATAGTATACCTTCTGGGGCAACCGACGCGCTCTCCTTCAGTATAGGACCACCTTTGAGCTCTATGTCAAATAGATGAACTTTCTGATAGCGCTGCGTGATAATGCCCTTTTCATTGATCCAAATAAGAGTATTCTTTACTCTACCATCCGCGGATGGTTCATGAATGCCGACATTGATGTGTAAATTAGAGTGCACGGCCTCCTTCTGCAGGCCCAGTACGAATTCACTATCATATACAGAGCGCGCAAGTGAGATTGTCTCTCCTGGCGAGGACCCTATATAGTCTGTCGCTTCAGGAAGAAACAATGCCTGCTCACGTGTTAGTTAGAAATTTGCAAGTCAATGACATATACCGTACTTTAGCTCCGGCAGCAACGGCTTTGCGCACCAGTATCTGACACTGGGCCAGATTGGCAGCCATACTCGCAGTCGAGCATAGTTGCCCCACGGCCTGTCGAGTTAATAAGAAGTTAGTGGCTAGAGTCACTCTTTTTTTTTGTTATAATAAGGAATACTTACTGCAATTACCATTTCTACTTAATTGAAGCTTAGAATGTGTCTGTAGTGAACTTCTATTAGAGTGTATGCTATCTATTGGAATGAAGGTATAATTGGTGAAGCAGGTTATCTGATACGATTAGTGAGGTAATCGGAGACTTTCCCATTTTGGGACAACATTTATCTCGACTGCCAGCAGCGGAACCGAATCTGAACGAACGTCACTGACCGCACCAACGTCCCAGAAAGCAGCTTTATGATAAGAAAAACCTGACTCCACAGTCAGGTCATATAGCTGCCAGTATGAAAAGCTTACGGAGGGATTTCTCTTCTGACTCGCATACCGCAAATGTCACCAGCAAAATCTTCGTCAGGTCGACAAAAAGTGGAAAGGTGCAAAAGATTGTTCGTGAGCTTTATCTGAGACAGGATATTCCTTGCTCATCAAAGCTGTGCTCAACATGTCCCTCGGTCGCTCCAGCGGATGCGAATGGAAACAGTCAGTAAGATCGGTGTAGAATATTGCTTCTAGTGGCTAATGCGACACAGTTGCGCCTTTCGTTCTTTCAGAGCAGCCCGCCGGCACAACCGCTTTTCCTCGTGGCCATTACCTCGTCCCTGATACGAACGCGCTACTGAATGGCATGGATCTATTTGAGCATACCGGCGCATTCTACGATGTGATCATCCTTCAAACAGTTCTCGAAGAACTTAAAAACCAGTCTTTACCTCTCTACAACCGCCTACTTGCCTTGATCAAGACCGACGAGAAACGCTTTTACCTGTTCTTCAACGAGTTTAGAATGGAAACACATGTACGGAGAGGACCAAATGAATCGATCAATGACAGAAATGACCGTGCCGTCCGTGCTGTAGCAAAATGGTATACTGAACATTTACGAGCCGCAGCGAAGAAGGGAAAGAAAGAGAAAACAGTGCCTACTATCGTTGTTATTACGGACGACAAAGACAGCTTGCGCAAGGCAAAGGAGGAGAGCGTGACAGCTCTGTCGTTAACCGATTACGTCTCAGGCTTAGAGGATTCCGACAGATTACTCGACATGATCAATGAGTCAAGAGAACAAAGAGAGACCAAGGGTGCACGCGGAGAGCTGTTTTACCCAGAATACTATACCATGTCCAAGATCATGACTGGATTGAGGGCCGGTACCTTACATCAAGGCGTATTCAATGTGTCCCCGTACAATTATCTTGAGGGATCCGTCAATGTCGCAGCATTCGACAAGCCTCTTCTCATTCTGGGTCGCGACAACAGTAACAGAGCTATCTCTGGGGATGTTGTTGTGATTGAAGTGCTTCCTAAGGATCAGTGGAAATCCCCATCAACCAAGATTGTTGATGAAGAAGCAGTATCCAAGAATGACAATCCTGACGCTGAGGATAATGAGGCTGTGGTCACTGAAAGGGAAAGAAAAGCTTTGCAGGAAGAGGTCAGACAAGCGCATGGAAAGGGTACAGAAGGAAGGCCTCAGCCAACAGCTAAGGTTGTGGGCGTGATCAAACGAAACTGGCGGCAGTATGTCGGACACGTTGATTCGGGATCAACAGGCTCCCAAGCTAGCTCTGGTCGGCGTCAACAAAATGTTTTCGTTTTGCCCATGGACAAGCGTGTGCCTAAGATTAGGGTCCGTACAAGGCAAGCCTCCGAACTGCTGGGTCAACGAATTCTCGTCACAATCGACGCATGGGATCGTGATTCTCGGTATCCTACTGGGCACTTTATCCGTTCATTAGGAGAGCTCGAAACAAAGGGAGCTGAAACAGAAGCTCTGCTACTCGAATACGATGTACAATATAAGCCGTTCCCGAAAGCCGTTCTCGACTGCCTTCCCGCAGAGGGTCATGACTGGAGAGTTCCCGCTAGTAAGGAAGACATTGGCTGGAAAGGCCGCAGAGACCTCAGAGATCTTCTTATATGTAGTATTGATCCGCCAGGGTGCCAAGATATTGACGATGCTCTTCACGCGCGACCGTTGCCCAATGGCAACTTTGAAGTTGGAGTCCATATCGCAGATGTATCACATTTCGTTAAGCCGAATAATGCGATGGACCTCGAGGCTAGTCTGCGTGGCACAACAGTCTATCTAGTCGACAAGCGCATTGATATGCTTCCACACTTGCTTGGTACGGATCTTTGCTCGCTCAAGCCTTACGTGGAACGTTATGCTTTCTCGGTTTTGTGGGAGATGACTCCAAATGCCGAGGTTGTTTCTACGGACTTCACTAAGTCCGTCATTCGCTCTCGTGAAGCCTTCAGTTACGAGCAAGCCCAGATGCGTATTGACGATCCATCGAAACAGGATGAACTAACCGAGAGCATGCGCACTTTGCTTCGGTTCTCCAAGATTCTCCGCCAGAAGCGTATGGACGCAGGTGCACTGAACTTGGCCTCGCCTGAAGTTCGTATCGAAACAGATAGCGACGAGGTTGGAGATCCACTTACGGATGTCAAGACAAAAGCTATGCTCGCAACCAACAGCCTCGTTGAAGAATTCATGCTTCACGCCAATATCACTGTTGCAGCTAAAATCTATAGTACATTCTCCCAAACCGCTATGCTACGACGACACGCCACCCCTCCACCACAGAACTTTGAAGAGCTCATTAATCAACTTTCCAAGAAGCGGGATATGAGACTTGATGTTTCTAGCTCACGCGCCTTGGCCGACTCGCTTGACCAGTGTGTTGATGCTAAGAATCTCTTTTTTAACACTCTGGTCCGCATTCTCGCTACCCGATGCATGACATCTGCAGAGTATTTCTGCGCAGGTGCTCATGCCGAGTCGGAATTCCGTCACTATGGTTTAGCCTCTCCCATCTACACGCACTTTACCTCACCAATCAGACGATATGCCGACTTGTTAGTTCATCGACAACTTGCATCTGCTATCGGATATGAAGGTGAAGACGGCCGGGCAGTCATTGAAGGTGTCATGACCCGCAACCGTCTTGAGGATATCTGCCGTAATATCAACTACCGCCATCGCAATGCCCAACATGCTGGTCGAGCCAGCATCGAGTACTACGTTGGTCAGGCACTGAAAGCGCGCGGCGAGAAGCTATCCGCTAACGGAGTGGATGGCGGCATCGAAGAAGAAGGTTACGTCATGCGCGTTTTTGAGAACGGCGTGGTGGTGTTTGTTCCGCGATTTGGTATCGAGGGCGTTGTGCGTCTGGAAGACTTTGTGCTCAAGGGTGATTCTGCCCTACACTCTGTTGAGGAACGGCGAGAGCTAGTAGTCCGTCGGGAGAGCGAGTTTGACAACGAGGAATACACTCTTCAAGTCTCGGATAAGGGCCACTCTGATCAAGGAATGAGCGTGGAACTCTTCCAAAGGGTCAAGGTCAACGTCAGTTCCGTGAAGGAAGAGAGTGGCCGGGGTGCGGGAAAGAGAAGGGTTAGGGTGTTGATTTTGGGAACCCAAAATTAGGGACAAAGAAAAGAAAAGAAAGCATGTCTTATGATGGCATTTGGGTGTTGGTCATAAAAAAGAGATCATTTGGAGTCTAGTGGTATTATAAATAGGTCATGTATTACTGTCTGATTCATGTATACTTCTTGCATTTACATTATTAGACTGGATAATGTCTCTCCATGTGCATTTAGCCGAAGTCACTGCTGTCACACTCTTTTCAATGTGACCATGCCACGAAGTAGTGCAACTGGTGACCAGAGCTTAGTCTCAGGTACTGCCCCGGAAGCTGGAGGTTCCACTGCCGGCTGGTTCCTCTTCTCATCTCCAGCCCCATGGGAGCTTCCCACCTTGACACCGTCATCATTAGCAGTCACCGCAGCAGACGATTCCAGCTGAGCTTGCCGGTT